GCCCTGCTCCTCGCCGCCGTGCTGGCCTCCGTCCTGACCCGCGGGAGGAGGGAGGGCGGCCCCGGGATGCTGAGGTGGAAGGACAGAGGGACCACGAGGAACCTGCGAGAAGTCGTCCTGGGGAGATGCTACAGCTACGTCCTGGCGCGGTACCCGGAGCTGGGGTGAGTAGGGGTCTCGGTCCTGCGTCAGGTGCGTAAAGCGAACGGAAAAGAGCTGGGTCTCGCCTCCCCCCCGGCCGTGTCCGCCAGCTGTGGGGCAGAGAGAAAGGAGGGGAGCAAGACCCCTGTTCTGTGGCAAAACGTACAAATTCAGACTGCAGCAGCTGGCGCCCAACTGGTGGCTTTTCTGAGGAAACTGCCTGCAGAACCAGTGTAAATACTGCTAATCCTAGGTCAAAACCCAGTTATGAACACATTTTGCAGCTTAAAGCCAGCTGAGATAAAAGCTGACAGGTTGGAGTATGTGGAGGTGAAAGCAATTTGCCGTGAAGCCGATCTGCCCAAAACCAGCCCTGTAACGTGCGACACCGCATTCACGTAACCAAAACTACGCAGGACAGAGGAACAGGAGAAGCTTCAGCACGGATTTATGGGATGAACAATGTTAGAAAAGTGTTGAGAAATATCTCGGGGTCATCCAAAACCAGATGTTTTCAGCGTGTGGGTAAGCCTTTGCGATGAGCACAGGCAGCTTGCACGGAGGGGTACCGATGGCTCGCAGTGCCAGCACGGCCATCCCAGGCGGAACCTTCACCCGGCGGTGGTCTCGGCTCAGCCCATGGCCGCAGGCAGTGCTGTTAACACCCCGAGCAGCCCACCGCTCCTCTGCTGCACGGGAGGGTTCCCTGGGCCCAAGTCTGCAGTAGCATGTTAGGGCTGAGAACTGATTTCTGATCCCTGGCCCCCCGGGGAAAAGCAGAGTACGATAGAAGGAGAGCCCCTGCAGATACTGGGGACACCCAGCTCCTGGGTGGGATCCAGGGCACCCAGGGTCTCTCAGCTGTGACCCATCCGTCAGTTCGGTGGCACCAGCCACTTGATTTTGTGTCCTCAGTAAGCTTCTGGCAGACATTTCCCCTTCCCCAAGCTGAGCGCTGTGGGGCTGCCCTGCACTTCGGCCAAGTGGCAGAACCGTCCTGGTCTGTGTCCTCAAAAAGTCAATTGCCACCTCTCATTGTCATAACATTGAGCTGCTGGGAACAAAGCTGCGCGTGGTTTGCTGGCTTCTGGACTTCTCTTGATCTCGGATGTCTGGTGCTCTTTGAAGAGGCAGATCTGCAGCGTGTGAAGGGAAGCTGGCACATGGAAAATCGTGGCCTGAGCGTGCGGAGCTTTACGTTAAACACCTAAGTGGGTTTAGTGAAGGGAAGGGCGGCTTCTCTTACAAATAAAATTTAAAAAACTCCTGAAGCTTTTGAAAAATCATGTACGTGTTTATAAAAGCCCACGTTAATTTATTAAAGAGGTATACACTCAATATTTAAACCTGAAATGATTTTGAAGCCTGATAGCCTTTATTACTTTTGCTTGTTTCATTCAAACTGGGGTACTGAAACTGTAAAAAATGCTTTTATGTGAATAAATTTCCAGCCAATGTCACGTATGATTTCATTCACAACTGAATCCGAACTGGGAGTAATTTGTCTAAGCAATTCTTTTTAAAGATGCTTTTTAAAAAATCACAAACCCATGAGTATAAGCTTTCTAAAAAGATTGTTTTTACAAGGCATAACATTTTCTGCTGTTCTTAATCTAACAGTGTTTAATAGCTTCATGGCTGTGAACTCACTTTCAGATGAAATGACTTCTTTATTGTACGACCCTTTTTTGGTTTATTTTGTTAAAGAAACAAATTAATCCGAGACAGAGGGCACTGCAAAAGGAAAAATATGCACGTACACCTGAAATGTTCAGGAGGTCCTGACTTCTCTGGGGACCTAAGCTGAGGTTGCTGGTTTCTGCTCCTGCTGAGCTCGGTGCAGTTTGTCGTGTCACCGACCACTTCTGGTGCTGGCACTTTCTGATAGTAAAGCGGGTGCCTTCAGGACACATCAGAGAGCCCTGCATCTTTAATCCTGCCTTCTTTCATCATCAGTGTAGGCCTTAGATCTTGCGTCATGTGAGATCTGTGGGGCACTTAATCAAAGGAAAGGAGTGGGAACAGGGAAGTGCAGAAACTCAGGCAGGCTGCTGAGCTGAGTGAGCTGTGTGTACTCAGGACTTTTGTTGCCACTACTCCCACTTGGGAACCTCGCTGCCTTGGTTAGAAGTCTGAAATTTCCTAAGTTTGTCCATACTCTGTTCTTCTCTTTTAATCTGACATCAATGTGTGCATTTGTTTAAAAAACTCTGATTTTAGTAAACTCATGGACGTTTCCTCACATTTTTACTTTTTTATACCAGAGCTGCGAAGTTCCATCTTTGACAATATTTTCAGTCTTTTTAAAAATAGCAATCGATTTACTGCAGTAGTTGGTGTGACTATTTACTACACTTTGGAGTGCCGTATTTCAAATTGGAATAGCTGCCAGGTGTTGGAAAAAAGGGGGATTGTTGCCATGTGACTGTGGACTTCATAAGGTTTCTAGATATCATGGATGAACTTAAGAGGGGCCACAAGCCTGTAGCCCCCATTTAGCTCTGCTTTTGCAACTGCATGCTATAAGTCATCTGAGAAGGCCACAGGTGGGCTAATGTCCACCTTCACCGTCACGGCTGCTGTAACACTAGAGAAGACCTCCTTGTGCTCTGCCTCACCTTACTGGAGCCCCGGCACCGTATGCAGCTGGCACGCTCTGGTCACGCTCTTGTCTTTCCCTCTATGAACTAGGGGCTGAACCCAAGCCCAGTGAGACCACTGGAGGGGCTGCTGCTGTCTGCAGGGGAGTTTCGTGAGCACCTCATGCAATCAGATTTTATCCTGTTGATACGTGTATTCTCCAAAATCATCAAAACATTCAGGTGCCGTACCAGACAATTCTCAGCTACCGTATACAGCACCAGCTGGCAATAATTTTGTTTAACTGCTTGCATGCAATACAGTCCTTGGTTTGATTTCTGCTGCTGGCTGGCTGACTCGTGTCATTTGTACACATACTGTTGCCTCAGTTAAGTCTTCCTGCATAGAACAGTCATGCCAAAGTTCGGGAGAAACTGGTAGAGAATACCAAGTGTTTCAAATAATGCATTTGCGATATTAGCCTCATGGTTAGGAGAAGGTGCGGATGGCATAGCAGCAGGCTTTAGAGGTTTCGTTCCCTGCATGCGAAGTTGCACATTTAGAGACGCACATTACAGAGTCGTATTTCTTTTTTGGCTTCCCTGGAAAATACTGGCTGCTGCCAGAAGAGAGAGCTAAAGCAACAGTTTGTCACAGCTCAACAGTCTTAAATTCAACATTAACAAAAGCTGCAAGTTCTGCTCTCGCTAGTCTTGCAAAGATCCCATGCTCATCAACCGTGGCCGCTGGTGTATATTGTAGTTTTGTCTGAATAAAGGCCAAAGGCAGTGTGGTCTGAAGGAAGAATTTGACCTCAGATTACTTCGCCTCCTCTTTCCCAGCAGCACGGACTCCCTCTTGCGGCTCACAGCCCCTCGCGGTTCTCAGACTCCAGTTTTCATGCGCTGCGAATTTAAGTTCGCAAGACTTGATCGCTGGTGTAACCAGAGGAGGGAAGCGCGATGGGGCGCGCAGACCCGCTCGCTCCGCAGTGCCGGGCTTGTGCGGGGCCTGGACCACACTGGTGCTGGGGAGGACGGTTGTGGCCCCCCCGTAAACTGCCCATCGCTTCGAGAGTCTGTGTTGGTTTTGCACCTTGATTCCTGATGGGGGAGAGCGGGTAGGAACAGGAGTAGTATGAATCTTGTTGATACGAAGTTAACTGGTTTAGTTTTCCTCTCCACCATGTTTGAGTTGGCACAGAGCTCAGGCGATGCGCACTTTTTGGCCTGGGGAAGGAGAGGGGGAGACACACTATCAAAAAGGAGGTCATAGTCACTGATCCCCAAAACAGATACAATGCTTTTTTTTCAATCTAGAAATAAACTCATCTTATCATTTGCAGCTCAAGAGATTTTTTATTCCCGGATAATGAGTATTCCCCCTTCAGGTCTCCAATCACTTCTCGGCCTCTGATTCACCCATGCTAAGCCAAGCTTGCAAGCACCTACTATTTAAAAATGGCTGCAGTCAAGCCAGCGTGTTTTTTGTCTAAGCTCTGTCAGTGAGAGAGCACCCGGGATGCAGGCAGGGAGCCACTTCAGTAACGTACCTGACTCTCAGGCCCAGCAGTCCTGCAGAGTCCGAGTAAGCAGTGCACAAACCCACCGATGAAGACCAAAGCTTAGAACTTCAGTACATTTTTCGTGGAATGTGGTGTGGATATGCAGCATAGATTTCCCCCTTAAATACAATTGGACCAACTAATGTTGTTTCAATAGTTAGTGGCAAATTCCTGTTATAACAAATTTTAACAGTCTATAGTTCCATTACATTTGGTAAGAGTTGGTGCACGTTCAGGAGAGCTTTGTCTCCTGACTTCATGATCTTGAATGCGTTTTGTCTTTCCATTCCTTTGCAGCCTGTGGAGGTGGAGATACATTCTGTCAAAAAGAACATATGGAGCAGTGATTTTGTGTGAGATACTATTGCCCTTGCAGCATAATTACTTCCAGAAAGAAATCTGGGGTTTGTTGTTGTATGCTTAATTTTGCATTTTGCCTTCATGCTTTGCTAGGCATTTTTAATTTAATTTCCTTGTATTTGTTCACTGATTGTTAACACTTCCACATCAAGCATAGCGCTAAACAACAGCCATGATCTGATTCAGTATCACAAAAACCTTAGCTTTCTTTTATATAACCATGACATTATACTCAAACTTATCTGAGATTTGTGTTTTCATGAGGAAAAAATGCCCTACATAAGAGATACTTTTACTGGTGGTGTTACTACCAAATCGTAATGCATTAGCACCCTTGTTAGAGTGCAGTGCAGAATTCTAAAGCTTCTCAGTTTAATATGCATCATACTGCAAAGGATTTAGCTTTCCTGTTTTATTTTTAAAAAATACACTTTCTAAAAAAAATGGAATTGTTACACCATCTCTTGTAGTTCCAGAGCAAATGGCTTTGTTTGCACTATCTATCTGTGGAAAAAGGCA